ATCCAGAGGCCTAGTTACTTTGGTCTGAGGCACAGTTGAAGAGGAAGAGGAGGTTATGTCTCTTCTTGAGGATCTGAAATTAAAACAGCAGATATTAGCAGATTAGATATAATCCTCCTGCAGACAGAAAGGAACTCTCTGTTCCACTTTGTTTCTACATGACTCAGCTGAGCAGGTTCCCATTAGAGCACCACCAGCTCCCTGTCACACCCCTGTGGTTTGGGTGGGAGTTGTCAGGTGGTTAGCCAATGGCACGGCACAGTTCAGACTTTGACTTTAAATGTTGTTGCAAAGAAGAAAGGATCGCACGGAGGACCTGCTTCAAATGTGTGTTCTGATGAGCCAAAGCAAAAATAAACTTTTAGAGTCATTCTTACTGATTTTTTTTAATGGATTTTATGGAAATTGTAGGAAAGTTCTGTGTTTTCTGCTGCAAAAGTCTTCACTGAGTTCCCTAAGTAGAGTTTTTAATGACATAACAAAAATACATTTTTTGCTGATTTCAGAATACTTGACCTATCAAAGTTCATGCTCAATAATCCAGGTAAAAAAATCCAACACAGTTCAGTCAGGTCATATGGACGGTTTCTTTTTTGTTGTTGATGAGACGTTTCGTCCTTCATCCAAAGGACTTCATCAGTCCGAGGAACCACAACAAACTGAGTCCCATAAGCAGCACACTCCCATAGTGGACCAACCAGTTTGCAGGTGATAAGTTGGTTTCTGAGGCCTCAGCCTTTTATGTTTTGGACCACTTTGGCTGTGGTTGCCTCAGAGGAGTCCACGGGGGAGAGGGCGGGCCCCAGAAACCATCTTATCACCAGCAAACTGGTTTGTCCACTATGTGAGTGTGCTGCTTGTGAGACTGAGTTTGCTGTGGCTCTTCAGACTGATGAAGTCCTTTGGATGAAGGATGAAACATCTAAAAAATAAAACGTCCAGCTGACCTGACTGAACTTTGCTGGAATACTTGAAACACTGCTGCTCCCATCCAACCAAAAAGACCCAAAAACTGTTGACCAGCTAGAATCCTACATCAGACAAGCATGAGACATTCCCGCAGGCTGTAGAAGAGAAACGTCACCCAAAGTTCCAGCTTTCTCAGAATTAGGATTGTAGCTTTTCTGATTTGTTTAAACAGAAAGCTCTTGAAGCAAAAAGGAAAGCTTGCCATTTTGTTCTGCATCTGCGCCTGACCTTATTATTATTTTTATTATTTTACTTCTTTTTGCTTATTTGGAACGGAGAGAACGAACAGGCAAGTGAACGATCAGACGGTATACACGTTTCAGTTGTAATAAGAAGGTAAAATGAGCCTTTGTTTCACCTTGACTTGACTTTGGAGCTGATAATGTTTTATGGTCCCTGCACAAACGAACAATAAGAAGATAAGCTTGTGGCATTACATTAATAAAAGCTTTGATTGAGCGCCAGCTGTGGTAATAACATCAGGACATCAGATTTCACTTACACTAAAAACTAGAAAACAAACCTGACCATAAAATTTACTTCAGTTTATGTGAAATTAAAATCCCCCCCTGCTGAGCCCATCGGCCTCTTGCTGCTGTAAATGTGTATTTGTTCAAGTGTTTAACTATATGAATTGATGTACCTGCATCCCAGGAAATGAATCTAATCTTATCTCATGTGCAGAGTCCACAGGTGCAGGTCCCGGGTCAGGGCCTTACAGAGACGAGCTCAGCGCTCTCTCTCATCGTGCACACGCACGTTCGTCTCTGACTTTGAATTAGTGATACTGTGTTGAGCAACGTTTTCGCACTGCCTCACTATCTTTGCTGTGCTTTGAAAATGGAAGCAGATTGCATGGTTACACGGTCCCGAGTCATTCCGAGGATGAATCGCCTCTTATTTATTTCTTAATGACAGATTTACAGCAGATGTGTTTTATCTGGTAATCCAGACCTAAATAGATAAATAACACACGTCTGATGGCTGTATATGTATTATATATGAAAACAGTTTTGTTTGTTTCCTTATCAATGCCCAATTATACCTTGTCCCTCTGCTGAGTCAGGAAGTTTTTAATGAAAATTATCTTCAGGTACCCGATAGTTTTGTCTCTTATCAATAGAAGACGTTGAACTTCCTGTACCTAAACACACTCATACTCACTTGTTTACACCTTTACTAGAAGTCAGACAGACTACCTACAAAATGACAATTCATAACATCCCAAACTGGTAAAAAATAAAAAATAAAAATTCTAAAATTAACCAAGCAGCATTTGTGCGTAAACATAACCAAGAAGCTTTGTCGCTAGTCCTAACCAAGTACTTTGGATGTCTAGATCTTAAGATAAAGTTAGCATCAGAACAAGACAAATAAGTGTCTGAATAAAAAAAAATAACCTGTGAAAGTGCAGTGTGAAATTGTGAATGCTTATTGCTGGAAGATTTTAGTTGCAAGCTGCTGAAGAAGCTGAAACCAAGCTGAAAAGTTTAATCGCTAAACTGTTAATGCGAGATGAATTTGAGAATGTATATAGTGTGTGTGTATAGAATGTGTATAGAAAAAGCTGAACAGAGCAGAACTGTAGTGGAATACGTTTAAATAGGCAGAGAAAGTATTAATAGATTACAAAAAATCTGAAATTAACAGAAAATAAACTGAAATTAGCAGAATGAGGCTTAAAGGAGCATAAAATGTTGAAAATATTCAAAAGAATCACAAAGTGCAAAATTAACAGGGAAGATCTGGCAGAAAACTACTTAAAAAGTAGCTGAAAAAGATCGTAAAAGATCTGAATTTAGCAGAAAAGAACTGAAAGGATCATAAAAATCTGAAATAAGCTGAATGAATCTTAAAAAAATGCTGAAATTAGTCAAAAGAAGCTAAAAAGATCAGAAAAATAGCTGAAAAAGCTGACATGACCAGAAAAATGCTGAAAGGGGCTGAAGAAAGTAGAAGTTAGCACAAAGCAGCTGAAAAAAAGCTGAACCAGAACTAAAGCTGACATGAGCAGTAAAAGGTTGTGAACAGCACAAAGGAAGAGAGCTCCATTCATTTTCAATGAGACAAACATGGCTGAAAAAGCTAAATATTTCAAAAAATAAAAACGGCACAAACACCAAAACTCATAGCAGGAATGTCCTGAATGAGCTGAACAATTTGACGTGAATTGTTGAAATAACACAAAAATTGCAGAACCAGTTGCATGCCTCAATGGTGTGCTTTATAAACATTCACACAGTAAAATGTGTTTCATGTTAGTAACTATCCACAATTTACCAAACAGTTATCTTGTCTTATTCAAAGTTGCACTGTTTTTCTCCAGGTCAGCTCTTTTACTGATTATTAAAGAAGTTAATGACTGTTGTGAGTGTAATGGGTCTTTTTCTTTCAGCATATCTGAGTTGCCATCTCTCTCTCATTTCACATTGGTCCCATTCACCCAACCCTTTGACCAAACCACAAAGTACACAACTGTTCGGCTGTGGTTGCCATAACAAAGCTAATGAATGACCAGGCTGGTGCGCATTAACAAGCTTCTGCATTAAATATCTATACTGATATGGTTTATTAATGCATAAATGAGAACTATCATCATTCATCTTCAGGTATTTACCACACAACTGAATGTTATAATAATAATAATAAAAAAGATTATGTGTGAGCTTCTGGTACTTAAAGCACAGCCTTTGTGTCTCGTCATAATTTGTTTTGTTTGGTGATAAATATAAAGTGGAAGTAAAATAACTTCCAGTTGGGGAAATTAATTAAAGAACAATAAATAAGTAAAATGTTCTAAATTTGTTAATAAGGCAACCTACTTAAACACGTTTATTGCTTCATTTCATTTTATTCATTTAAGCAACATACTTAACCTTTGATGTGATAATAAGAGCTGGTTATAGCAAAACAACACACAAGTGTTTGGATTCCCACTTGTGAGGTGCAAGCGAATGCAACATCCATCCATCCATTATCTTTTACCTGCTTCTTCCCTTTTGGGTCATGGGGGTCATTGTTGCCCATGTCCAGTCATGACTGTGTGAGAGACAGGGGACACCCTGGATAGGACACAAGTCTGTCACATGGCAACAGAGACAAACCATTCACTCTTTCACTCACACCTAGGAACAATTTAAAGTTACCAATCAGCTTAACATGCATGTTTTACATGTTTTGGGTCTATGGGAGGAAACCAGAGTACCCGAAGAAAACCCATGCATGCACGGAGAGAACATGCAAACTCCACCCAGAAAGGCCCACCTGTGGTCGAGCCGGTGACCTTGCTGAGAGGCGGCAGTTCTACCAACTGCGCCACCGTGCCACACAAAAAAAGAACATCTCTTTTTCAACTCTAAGATGTTCAGATTTTGTGTGTGTGTGTTGTGTGTGTGGCGGGCTGGGGAGGGGGGGGGAGGGGGGTGTCATGTCCTCCCTGTGCATATGTTGCTTTCCCCCAGTTTCTCTAGAAAAGAAAAGTATGGAATGGGGACTGGAAAACACAGAGTCCTGCCTTTTGCCCATTGACTGGAATAGGTCAATAGGTACCATAATTCACCCTGGACAGACAATGGATGGGCGGATGGATGAATCACAGAAAATTATATATATGTATATATATATATATATA